GATGCCATTTGGCTATATCACCTACGTCTTGGTCATCCTTCTTTTAGGATTTTAAAAATAATGTTTCCTCATTTGTTCCAAGGATTAGATATTTTTGAATTTCATTGTGACATCTGTGAATTGGCAAAACATATCCGTGCATTTTTTCCTATTAGCAATAAGAGAAGTTCTCATCCTTTTCAGTTGATTCATAGTGACATATGGGGTCCTTCCACTATACCTAATGTTTCTGGGGCTCGTTGGTTTATGTCCTTAATTGATGATTGCACTCGGGTCACATGGCTTTTTCTTCTTAAACAAAAATCTGATGTTAGCACTGTTATACCTAATTTTCATTTAATGGTTCAAAATCAATTTGGTGTCAAAATAAAAAGCTTTAGGACAGACAATGCTAGAGATTATTTCAATCAGATTCTGTCACCTTACTTTCAATCACAGGGGATTATCCATGATTCATCATGTGTGGAGACACCCCAACAAAATGGGGTAGCTGAAAGAAAGAATAGGCATTTACTCAACACCACCCGAGCCTTACTGTTTCAAGGGAATGTTCCTAAGTCCTATTGGGGAGAAGCCGTTCTTACTGCCACATATATGATAAATAGACTTCCCTCCCATGTGTTAGAAAACAAAAGCCCCATAGAGGCCCTTCATAGTTTTTACCCTCACTTCAGAACCTCAAATGGCCTCACTCCTAGGGTATTTGGGTGTACCGACTTTGTTCATGTCCACAAACAACATAGGAAAACTAGACCCTAGAGCCATCAAATGTGTTTTCCTCGGTTACTCATCCACTCAAAAGGGATACAAATGTTACAACCTCTTGACCAAAAAATTTTACATCTCTGCGGATGTCACTTTCACAGAAAATAGACCTTTTTTCAAGTCCTCTCTTCAGGGAGAGATTTCAATGATGGAAGATAGTACTTGTGAGTCTTTCGAACCACTTAAAACCCTTGACCTTCCGCATGTGCCACCCCGCAGTCACTCAGAACAAAACCCTCCTCATGTTCCGGTTGAACCTAAGTCCTCTGAACCAGTCACATCTGAGTCACCCAATCCTGTCACTGAACCCATATCATCTCCTTCTCCAACCAGCATCACTCACAATTTTCCAAAGTTTCCTCAGGTGTATTCAAGGAGAAAGACCGTTCCTGAACTGACACAAGTCCAAGAATCCAATCCAAATTCTGAAAAAGAAATTACGGTAAGATCAGATCCACATTTACATTTACACACACAATCTGTTGATAAGTCCACTGATTCAACTATTGTTCTGGATCTTCCCATTGCTGTTAGAAAAGAAACCAGAGAATGCACTAAACAACCACTCTATCCTCTATCTCACTATGTCTCTTTTAAGCGCCTATCGCCAGCCCAAAAGGGATTCATTATGAGTTTGAACACCATTGTCATCCCTCACAATGTGTCTGAGGCATTGTCAAAAAGAGAATGGAGGGATGCTACGAGAGAAGAGATGAATGCATTAGAAAAGAATAAAACATGGGAGATTGTTGATAAACCAAAGGGAAAAAACATTGTTGATTGCAAATGGATTTTTACATTGAAGTACAAGGCTGATGGATCCCTTGAAAGATATAAAGCAAGGTTAGTAGCCAAAGGATACACTCAAACTTATGGAGTGGATTATCAAGAAACATTTGCTCCAGTTGCAAAAATGAACACAGTAAGAATTTTGTTATCATTGGCTGCTCACTTTAATTGGCAACTGCTACAATATGATGTTAAGAACGCATTCCTCCATGGTGACTTAAATGAGGAAATCTACATGAACAGTGTGCAAACTGAAAAAAGCCCTTTATGGGTTAAAACAATCTCCCAGAGCATGGTTTGACAGATTTGCAAAAGTCATGAAGGAATTTGGGTACAAACAAAGCCAAGGTGACCACACGCTTTTCATTAAGCATTCAGCTGTAAGGGGAGTGACTGCTCTTTTAGTCTATGTGGACGACACCATAATGACTGGAAATGATGAAAAAGAGAAGCATGAATTAAAGTTGAGACTAATGAAAGAATTTGAAATAAAAGAACTAGGGAAATTAAAGTATTTCCTCGGTATTGAGGTGGCATATTCTAGACAAGGGATCTTCATATCTCAACAAAAGTACGTACTTGATTTATTGGCAAAAACAAGGAAGATTGGGTGTAAGCCGATTTCTACTCCAATAGATCCAAACTATGAATTGGGAGAAGCTAAAGAAGAACCAACTGTGGATAAAAGAATGTACCAGAGGTTGGTTGGTAGACTTATATACCTTGCTCACACTCGACCAGACATAGCATATTCTGTAAGTTTGATCAGCCAATTCATGCATGATCCAAGAGAACCTCATCTTCAAGCTGCTTACAGGGTACTGCACTACTTGAAAGGCAATCCAGGGAAAGGAATCTTGTTCAAAAGGAATGACACTCTTACTCTGGAAGCCTACACTGATGCTGACTATGCTGGCTCCCTAGTGGATAGAAGATCAACTACAGGGTATTGTACTTTTCTTGGAGGTAACCTAGTGACATGGAGGAGCAAGAAGCAGAATGTAGTGGCAAGGTCATCAGCAGAATCAGAATTTAGAGCAATTGCTCAAGGATTATGCGAATTACTTTGGCTGAGGATCATTTTGGATGATTTGAGAGTCAAATGGGAGGGTCCTATGAAGCTTTACTGTGACAATAAGTCAGCTATTAATATAGCTCATAATTCTATACAACATGATAGGGCAAAGCATATTGAAATTTATAGACATTTCATCAAAGAAAAACTGGAGGAAGGGTTAGTATGTATGTCCTATGTTCCATCAGAGAGACAATTAGCCGATGTTCTAACAATGGGACTGAACAGTTCGAGTTTCCATGATCTTGTATCCAAGCTGGGAATGGAAGACATCTATTCCTCAGCTTGAGGGGGAGTGTCAAAGAATAGCTGAGTTATAATGTTGTTGAAATATTTTAGATATTTAATTTTAGATTTGTTAGATTTAGATTTAGATTTGGTCATATCCATTAGATTACATTATTTAGATTTGAGTCTATCGAATTTGTTTTTAGGTTGCCTATATATAGGCCCCTTATTTTGATTATCAAAAAAGTAAGCTTTAGAGTTTCCGCAAAATATTTTAACAATACCATCTAAGATTTTGAATAGAAAAATCAAATGAAGAAGAAGTTTAATTCTATCAAAATACGTCTTCTTACATACAAGGATAGAAAGACATATACAAAAAATCCTAATAAAAAAAGAAGGAAACTATCCTATATCTTATTCCATGAATCACCGGATCATCCTCTATCTTATCCCATGAATCATGGGATCACTAGATGTACAAAGGAAACAAGATATTTGTTTCCTAAAATAAATTAATCCACATATTTTTCCACAATAACTTTTACCTACTGTCTAGTAACTTAGATACCTAGTAACTCACAGCTCTAGTAAATCACAAGCCTACCTAACACTAATTAGAATCCAAAATAAACAAAAATACACTACTGCACAAAATAATATTGCTTTAACCAAATAATGGAGTCACCAAGGAACAAACAAAAATGAAGATAGAACCTGTAAAAATTTCTCCAAAACTTAAGTGGGATATAAGCTCATCTATACACAACAAACTTTTAAATAGAAGAGATGTAGTATGGACCTCTACTTTCTGACTCCACCTTCTATTTTCCCACTTTTTCTCTAAAGTTATTTGCTTTAGTAAGGTAAAAAAAAGAACATATAATCCAATTAACACTGCTCAATTAAAATTTTTAGTTTCACTATAAAATTTGTAACAATATGGGGTCCCATCGATATCACTAGTAACATCTTTAATCATACATCTAATGGCTGATAGAACTACAAACAAATCTGCAAAGCTTCATCGCATCCAGTTGTACGAAATGACACTTGATCAGTGCGAAACATAGGCATATTGAAATGAATACGCACACCATGACATTAAAATATGAATGTATCATTGAACATGCCTATTTTTATATTTGTAGGTTTATTTTATAATTTTTCCTTTCAGTTTTATTGTAAAATTCCGTGCGCTGAAAATTCAAATGTTATCCTAAATTTTTTACTATTATTTTTAATTTGGGATGTTCCAAAAATTTTACAAATTATTTTTATTTACACATATTTTCCTCTTTTAAATACAATTTCTAAAATCATTCCAAACAAAAAATAAAGACAAATTTGTCGAAATAATATCAAAATTATACCATCCAAAAAAATCATGCAAGAAAGTAAAATAAGCAATAGAAATGGGATGAAGAAGGTTATATGGTTAAGATAATTAATCAATATACATTTAGATTATCATAAAAGATTATATAACCCTACATAACAAATAATTTACACAACCATTGGACATATGTGTCATGGGGACGTGAGCATAAAGGAAGTGGTGCGGAGAAAATGAATCAGATAAGCCCTAACATGGAGCATAACTCATTTTAACCTCTATCCATGAGAGAACATTGGCTTGTTTAACAACTTGGTCAAAGTACAATTTAAACTAAATGGGCGTATTCAATGACATACCATGTCAACATGCCATCTTTTTTACTGACATGTTCACTGAGATTAAGCAATGCGTTGGACAACCAGATGCCAAAGAGAAAATTCTCCGAAAACATCAACATTTGCTATCATTTTTTGGGCATATAGGACTAAAAGTGTTAAAGGAAAATGTCAATAGAACCATGTGTTACAAATTTTATCATGGGACTAAAAGTGTTAATGCATGATGTTAGTGGAACTAGTATGATTTTCTCCCTCTTATTGACATCGCATATAAATTATCACAAACTTAAGAGGTAATGCGGTAACCACTTAAGTATAATAGACTAGAAAACATCAGATTTAGCTATTTGGCTATAGTGTATTCCTTACTCTACAATTCTCTCATATTATTTCTCTGTTTTCTTTGTTATCAATAAAATTACTTTACTCTTCAAAAAAAAAAAAAGAAAACATCAGATATATTTACCCGCAGTTTTTCTTGCAACTTTTTAGAATCAAACCCTTCACCCTCGGGAGAAATATCCAAAGACGCCATAGATGCCATGGCAAGTTGGCCAATATATTCCTCAAAAAGTTCACTTCCAAAAAGCATGGCAAAAATTGCAGCAGGATCTATAATTGCCTCTCTGAAATAATAAGTAAAATAAGTAAATTCAGCAACATCAAGAAACATACATACATATCTAAAAGACAATTATATAATTTCATGACAAGGTAGAGGTTAAAACATTTGTATACAGCAAAATGAACTAACGTTTTAATTCCTGACTTTCCATAAGCATCATAAGCTTGTCTTTGTGATGGATCACTCAGCACTTGGTAGGCCTCACCCAACATCTGATACAAAAGAGAAGTTGCTTTACTGAAAAAGAAAAGGTAGGTAGAATTCAAGCCCAAATATATCATAACAGTTAGCAGATACACATTGATTTTGATTAGCAAGTTTTTATTGAACCTTCAAATAAATAATAATTGCTAGTTTCGTAATAGATGGAATGGATTTTGGAAAGCCTGGGCCAGCTGTGGGCATGTTCTCATTATCCAATTTAAATCTATTGGTGTTGGTGACTCATACGATAAAATGGCCATCATCCAAATTATATGAAAATGGATGTTGGATATAATATTTTTTTAAGGGAATTGAGAGATTTAATAGTAGAGGGGGCAAATAGGGCCGGCCCAACTGGACTCAAGCTTCAATTTTAAATAATTTAATAAAATTTTAATTCATGGGGTACAAGTACGAACGAACCCACAACCCAACATAGATACAACAAAAACTTGCCACTAAGCCATTTCTTCATTTTTGTCATTACTTCATTAGTTAATATGTATAAAAATATTCAATTTAAAATGTATAATCTTAATAAACCGGGTTGGGCCAGGCAAGGCCCGACTTTCATGGGCACAGGCACGGGCCTGGTTCATTGGTGTGCAGGGCCAGGCACGGCCTAAAAAAAAATCCAAGCCTATTTTTAGAGGTCCAAGCATGATATTTTTGTGTTGGGTTTGGATCGAATTTTTGAACCGTATCTATTTTTTTCAGCTCTACTTAATAGTATAAAAATATGGAAAAAAAAAAATGAGCAAGCCTTCAATATTCAATCAAGATTTCATAAGATTTTGATAGACTTTTAAAATTTGGGTGTATTCAATCCAAATTTTAAAAAGTCTTCCAAAGTCTTGAGATATTCATTCCAAACTTTTAAAATCTGAAGATATTCAATCAAGAATTTTAAAAGTCTTTTAAAATTCTACGGTATTCAACAATCCATAAATTTTAAAAGTTTTTGGATTTTATTTGATTTTAGTAGAAAGTTATGAAAAAATACATGGAATGAAATCTTTCCCGATAAACAGAGATTTGGATTCTTAAAAATATTATCATTATGATTAGTATTATTATTATTATTATTATTATTATTATTATTATTATTGTTGTTGTTGTTGTTGTTATTTTTATTGATGTATAAGTGATAAATGCTAATATTTATTGATATTATTATAATCTTTTAATAAAAACTAATAATTTAAAACTAAAATATACTAGTAAACTATTATTAAATTTTTCAAAAATATGTATTTTTATATTATATATATAATATTTAAAAAATACTATTATTTTATCATAATAAATATGCATTACTATCGTCGAATATACTATATTGCTAATACTATATGAAAAATGAGGTCGATGTATAACCTTGATGGAAATAAAGATGACAAGAATAAAGATGAAAATAATAATAATAATGATAAATATTATATTTTTGGTATTTTTATTTAATATTTTAAATAGTTTTTTTATCTACATGTGTATTTAATATAAGTTTATAAAATTATATAAATCAATAAAAAAATATTCTACAATCCTATAAAATTCATAAAAATCCGTACATTAATCTAATTAAATCTATCTAAATCCATTAGTAAAATTCACCAAACTTTGCATAGACTCTGTGATTTTTTTTAAATCCACATAAAGCCATAAACTTTTTATAATTCAATAAAATTTCAAATGAATACACCTCCTAATTACAACATCAACAAGTTGTATCATGGAAGCTTCCAACTCTATTCATTACTAAACAAAGCTTTATTTACATAATGTGCTTCGCATTTCAAAGATGACTCAGCCCTTTGAGGAAGGTTATTTGAGGGAATGTGATATTCTTCCCAAAACTATTTAGACATTCCAGGGATCTGATTGTGATGTTTGGGCACCTTGGCTCCCATCTGCAAGTCTTTGGACAAATTGCAAGGAAAAAAAAAAAAACAAATTGGCGTTTGGGTCAAAGATGGATATGAAACTTGTGGGATGATTCTTAAGCATCATCTTCTCACCCTCTAAAGTTGACGTTTGGTCGCAACTTCATTGCAGTATACTCAAAATAGGAAAACCAAGATTTAGTAATTGAGTTGGAGTTTGTGAATAGGAAATCAAAAGTCTTTTAGCAAGGTCAACAACTAAACCACTCTCTCAAGTTGCAGTTCTGATAGACTTATTTAGAAGCCAAAGAATAAAATAGCCTTTTCTTGCTATTCCTTTGGGTACTTGACTCAAAATCAATCATGCCACCATGGTTATTTGGTCTTTAAACGCACCCCCACCCCCTCTCCCCTAGAGTCTACACTTCTATTTGGAAACATCTACAGGATGACCTACAAGTTCAGGGAGTTCTAGCTTTCAAGGGGCCTTGTTAGCAAATGTGGCTCATAAAAAGGATGGACAGTTACAGTGCCTGTAGGGTTTTTTGGGGGGTTACAACTAAGAAATTTAAGTGTATTATTCATAATTTAGTTAAGGGAGTTATGATTTTATTGGCGATATACTATACGGATGTATGTATTTAGTCAAGGTTGTAGATCCTCTCTTTGAGAGCTTGGTTAATCAAAAGGAACAAAAACAGGCACCTCCGAGGATGTAGGCAATTTTTTCCGAACCTCGTAAATCTTGTGTTTTTATTTTCTTCTTTTCTGCATTTCGCTTTTATTTTTACAACAATGGGTATCAGAGTGCCAGGAGAGAACCATGACATCTTCTATGAAATTCGAAGTTACCAAGTTTGATGGAACTGGGAATTTCAAACTCTAGTAACAGTGGGTGAAGGATCTGTTGGTTCAACGGGGGATGCCAAAGGTATTAGAAAAGAAGCCGGAGAAGACTGACCAATCAGAATGGGATGCTCTTCAGGCAAGAGCAGTAGCCACCATCCTATTATGTCTGTTTGATTAAATAGTTTTTCATGTGATAGAGGTGGAATCAGCCGCAGAAGTGTGGCAAAAATTGGAAAACCGGTATATGGCAAAATTGTTGACAAATAAGCTGCATCTTAAACGAAATTTGTATGGACTTGAATGCAGGAAGGTGGTGATCTCACACTTACATTTAATGATTATGGAAAACTGGATCTGAAACTTAAAGACGAAGACAAAGTTATGATTCTCATCTATTCATTACCTTCATCCTATAAGCATTTGGTGACAACATTGACTTGCAGGAAATATACAATTGTCCTTAAGGATACAGTATCTATACTTGTATCTCATAACCAGCTTCGGTTAGAAGATAGGGCAAATATGCAAGACGATGGATTGTATGTTCAAGAGGGGAAATAATATGCTGAGAAGGGGTGTCATCTGACTAGGACAAATTCTGTAAGAAGGGGAGGAAGGTCAAGATCAAGGAAACAAGTGCAGCGTTATAAGTGTCAACAACTTGGACACTTTTAAAGAGATTGTCCAAACAAAAAAGGAGGTAGAGGCACAAATAGAGCAGTAAACGAGCTGAATAGAGCCAAATTTGTCATGTTTGAGCTCGGCTCGTTAAGGATTTGAGTTCGGCTCGTGTTCGTTCGTTAAGGAATACGAGCTGAAATCTTAGTTTAAGATAGGCTCTTTTAGCAATTTTTTTGCTTGTATTCGGCTCGTCTCAGCTTGTTAAGAGAAATTTTTTTTATTTATTTAATTTTTTAAAAAATTCTAAGTTTAGTTAATAATAACTATAATTTTTATTAATAAATTTAAATAAAAAATAGAATGAAATATAATATTTATAAAGATATATATACTTATTAAATATAAAATTATTAATTTGATTTTTCTAATAAATACTATCAAACGTGCTTTCGTGAACATAACGAGCCAATATTTATGTTCGTGTTTGGGTTGTTCAGCTTAAAGAACGAACTTTTTGCGAGTTCAAACGAGTCGAATTGAGCTGAACTCACGAACTGTTCGTTTGTTTTACAGCTCTAGGCACAAATGGAGGAAATGAAAATAAAATTGGTGAAAATGTCTCCGAAGGTTCCTCAAATAATGCCAATGTCGTGAATGATAAGTAACCATGGGACAGTTTTACTTGGTGATGATGAGCCATGTGAAGTTGTTGGTATTGGGAGGGTGAGGATTCGAATGTTTGATGGGTTCATAAGGATTTTAAATGAAGTCAGACATGTACAGGCATTAAAGAAATTTTGGTATCTTTGGGTTCAATGCAAAAGAATAGATTCACTTTTAAGTATGATGAAAAAGCTTACAAGTGGCCCATGGAGCACTAACCGTGATGAAAACAAGTTTGACAGAGAAAAATATCTACAAACTTGAGGGAACTACGGTTGTAGGTGGAGTTTCTATTGTTGAATTTGTTGTTAATAATGCTACACTATGGCATGCTCGGCTTCGTCATATGGGGCAAAATAGGATGCAGACCTTAGTGAAAATGAATCTGTTGCACGGATTTGCAAGGTGGATTTTTCCAAGTACTATCCACTTGGAAAACAATTCGGGGTGCAATTCAAAACAGCGAAGCACTCTACACATGGTATTTTGGACTATGTCCATTCAAATGTGTGAGGTCCTGCAAATGAGCCATCAATAGGTGGAGCTCTCTACTTTGTTACATTCATCGACGACTATTCACTAAAGGTATGAATTTATTTTCTGAAATAAATCTGAAGTATTTGAAAATTTTAAGATGTGGAAGGCTAAAGTTGAAAATGCTTTTACACGGTTTTGTGAGGAGCGTTGAATTCAGCGTCATTTTACTATTCAGAAAACTCCTCAATAGAATGGTGTTTCAAAGAAGGAAGAAAACAGTAATTGGGTGCAAATGGGTCTTTCGGAAGAAATAAGAAATAAGTTCGAAGTGCGATTGGTGGCAAAGGGCTTTGCACAGAAGAATGGGATAGACTACAATGAGGTATTTTCTCCTGTTGTTCGTCAATTGTCTATTCGAACTGTCTTATCCATTGTTGCACATAAAAACCTGTTTTTGTAGCAAACGGATGTGAAGACAGCCCTTTTGTATGGAGAGCTGGA